TCAGACGGCGACTGGGTCTTTATGAGCTCCAGTAATGCTGGCAGGGAGTATGCCAGGTCATCCTGAGAAATATGCACTATTCCAACTATGTGTGTCAGTGCCAACGTGAAATTTCTGCGGAAAAATTATAGTTGGTTATGTATAGTTCGCATGTAAATTTGCACAATGCGGTGTGAGAAAACTTCCAAGTTCAACTGAGGAAGCCGAATTTTATCCAACAATGCCCTGGATCACAAACCCTTGCGAGCGATCAACACATCTAAAACCTTTCTTACGGAAATGCCGTCTGTAGCGCCAGTTTCAACGTCCTCACACTGGCTCATGTGAGCAGCCGCTATATCAGCCGAGGAGCTAGCAGCCAGAAGCTGTTGAATCAATAAGGCGGTGTCCAAAGAGCTGACTTCGCTAGCAGTGGTGGAGGGACTGAGAGGCGAGTCACACGGATGAGTATCCATCCAGCTTGAGTCGTCACTGCCCTCTGGAAACCCACACTGGAACTCTGAAAAAACAACAACGACATAGTTGATGAGCAATGGCAGACAGCGAGCCCACCAGGGAGGGTAAGATCTGCTAGCCAGTCGTAGTCGCACGCCAGAGGGTTGACGCCAGCCGAATAGTCCAAGGTGGATGACATAGACGAGACTGTTGGTAAAAGAGCTTCGAGGAAGTAAGAATACATAAAACACCCTTAACACGACGCTGATTGGACTGGGTTCCCTCAAGATCTAACTGTGTATTGCCAATTTACACAAAGAGGAGAACTCTGAGTTGTTCCTAGCAGACACAGCGGAGGCAACGACTGTCTACCAATATCACAGTAATGCATAGCATAGATCTAGTGCTATGCAGTCACTCATCACACTACACATAGTGATGACCTTCAACCTGCAATTGGTAACCAACACGCTAACCGCTGTTGTCAACGCGTTGACTACCAGCAAATAGGCTAGAAAATAAATGGGCAGACCTCCCTAACTGTATAAGCTAACCCCATGTAGAGGCAACACACAGAACAAGACTACAAGGAGTTATACGTGACCAATACAACATTAACAACATTTAGTTGTTGGGCCTCGCAGAGTATTTGTTTTGGGTCAAAGGGTCTTGCCAAGCACCAACAGACAGGGCGGAGAGGCCGTGAGCAGCATACCAAACCCCGTTCATCAGAGATAAT